TGAGGCTGATAGTGACGCTTTTAGTTGTCGGTGAAAACGTTCTACTAACCCGTTTGCTTGTGGGTGGTAGGCCGTCGTTCGGAAGCGAGTGATTCCTAATTTCGCGATCAGACAACGGAATAGTTCAGATTCAAACTGACGTCCACGATCTGTAGTGATGGTTGTTGGGCAGCCGAAGTTTGCTACCCACCTCTCGACGAAGGCGCGGGCCACTGTTTCAGCAGCAATGTCTTTGATGGGTACTGCTTCTGGTCATCGAGTAAAACGGTTTACGCATGTTAAAAGATAAGAATATCCATTTGAGTCTGGTAAAGGTCCTACCAAATCCAAACGAACGTGGTCGAAGCGAGCATCGGGAGTTTTAAAAGAGCCTAGGGGACGTGTGTTATGTCTAATCACCTTAGATTTCTGGCAGCTTACACAGGAGCGTGCTCACTCCCTCATGTCTTTATTCATACCAGGCCAGCAAAACCGTCCTGCAATAAGCTTGATGGTTGCACGAACACCTGGATGAGAAAGTCTATGCAACGTATAGAAGACGTTGCGTCGATAATGTTTCGGCACGATTGGGCGATCTCTACCTGTAGATGTGTCACAAAGTAAGGTTTCTTTACCTGTTCCCATTTGTTTAATGCGCAGTTTAAGTGTTGTTGAGGCTAACTCGTGATGAAGATCACTGTCTTCTTATTGAAGTTGGGCGAGTTTTAAAAGGTCGATTCCTTGGAAACTGTTCAAAGAATTTATGCGAGACAAGGCGTCTGCGACTACTTTGTTTGCTCCAGAAATGTGTCGAATATCTGAAGTAAACTGCGAAATGTAGTCCAGTTGTCGAGACTCACGAGGTGAGTACTTGTCTGAAGATGAGCTTAAAGAGGAAGTAAGAGGTTTCTGGTCGGTAAAAAGGGTGAATTCGCGACCTTCGATATAGTGTTGAAAATGCCGGACAGCACAATACATAGCTAGGAGTTCCCTACCAAATGTGCTGTACCTCGATTCAGTGTCTAGCAACCGTCTAGAGAAAAATGCCAAAGGTTGCCAGGAGTGGTTGACCCATTGTTGTAAGACTGCTCCGATTGCTGAGTCGGATGCGTCTACTGCGATATTAATGGGCGCTTCAGGGTCCCGATGAGCAAGCATGGTCGCCTGAGCGACATGTTCCTTAACCGTGGAGATTGCTTTTCGCGCGGTGTCATCCAGATTGATGTATTTCACATTTCCACGAAGTTGGTCGGTAAGGGGTTTCATAAGTAACGCGCATTTGGGTAAGAACTGTCTGTAGAAACTTACCAGACCGTTAAACGTGCGCAATTGCTTGATGGTGGTTGGTTCTGGATAATCCAGGATGGCCGCCACTTTTGTTCTAAGGGGTCGGATGCCTTTCGCATCAACATTGTGTCTCAGGAAGTCTAAGGATTTGGTTCCGACTTGTCATTTCTGAATGTTTACAGTAATGCCATGTTTTTGTAGTCGGTCGAGAACAACGTCCAGATGCTGGAGATGTGATTCTCTGTCCGGACTTGCTATTAGGCAGTCATCAACATACGCATGTACGAAGTTGAGACCTCGAAAAACGTCCTCTATGAACCTTTGGAAAGTCTGTGCCGCGTTTCTCAGACTGAAAGGTATTCGCAAAAATTCATAGAGTCCGAAGGGTGTTATAATAGCGGTGTTTGGAATGTCGTCAGTGGCCATAGGAATTTGGTTATGCGCTTTAACCAAGTCGATTTTCGAAAAGACAGTTGTACCTTTCAAGGTAGCTGTCAAATCGTGGATGTGAGGCAACGGGTAACGATCAGGAATGGTTTTTGCATTCAATCGCCGATAGTCACTAGTTGGATGCCAATCGTTGCTGCCCTTTTTAGGGACCATGTGCAACGGAGATGCCCACGGGCTATTCGACGGTCGTATGATTCCTGAGTCTATCATATGGTCGAATTCGTTTTTCACCAACCTTAACTTCTCGGGGGCCAGTCGGCGAGCTCTAAAGAATATATGTGGTCCTGTAGTCGTGGTGTGATGTGTAACATTGCTGGTTACACACGGCGATTTCGGTTGTGATTGGTAAATGCCAGAATACTTGTGGAGTTGTGGTTGATAGAAGGGGTCTATCGTGTGCCTAATAATGACTGGAGATGATCTGCAACCAGAAAAAGAAGTCAGGCAAACAGATAAATTAGTATTCTCATCTACTAGCCTCCGTTTGCGCGTACCGATTATTAAGTTGTGGTTCTGTAGAAGGTTCACACCAATGATTGGCATAGAAACAGCCGCAACAACAAAGATCCAGTGAATGGGTTTGCGTAAACCCACGTTATGATAAACGTACCTTTTGCCATACGTAACGATAGGCTTTCCGTTTGGCTCCTGTAAATTTAAAACCGATTCGTGAAGCCGGTCATTATAATTCGCTGGGAAAGCGCTAACCTCTGCGCCAGTATCGACGAGGTAGCGAACCCTCCTTATCACATTTGTGACGTATAACAGACGGCTATGTTCGCCGGCTACGGTTGCTGTTAACACTTGCCGGCTTGGAAGTTTCCCGAATCGTTTTTCGTGTCGACCGATGTTGAGTTGGGAAAATTGCAGGGTTTTCTGCAACTTCTGGCGGACTTTCCATACTGGTTATGATATCAGCACCAGTCAGGATTATCCGTCTCTCGAGGTCTAGAGACAGATCGCCAACGTGAAGTGCTTCTTCGCGGGCTGTGTGACCGTTTACGGTCGTTACGAAGTTTAAGATAACGCTTAAGTATATGACATAATTCTGTTATGTCATTCCGGGTGGTTTGGGGCTTTTCTTTGACTGAAAAAACCTCAACGTTAAAAGATTTAGTGATTTCGAGGATGCGGTCGGCAGATGCAGCCAGCTCGTTTGTGGCGTTGTTTTGAAACGAGATAAGCACAGCTTGCACCTGTTGAGGAAGTTTAGGTAAGAAAAGCTGTTTGAATAGGCGATCATCGAAAGTTCTTCGGACAATAACTTCTCTCATTCTTTGCAACATGTCTGTGGCAAAACCGTGTTTCAGGTCGATGTTGTTGAGGAGTTGGTCTAACCTTTGTCAATCGGTTAGATCTCCGCGTTTAAGGATGGCATGTTTGAGAGTTTTGTATGGGTCAGAAACATCACCAGGTATTACGTACCTGTTGAAATCGTGCGGTAGTGCCTTGACTAGTGCGAGGAATTGTGCACGCGTGTCGTTCACAGTGATCGTAGAAGTCGGCTTCTGCGTAGCGAAACCAGGCTTCGATGTTGTCTGGCCAGAATTTCATAAGTTGGAAGGAAGGTGGGAACACAGTATTTAAGTTAAATACTTTAGGTGTCTGTTCGGTCATATTAATATATCAAGTACGAAAAATGAACGGGTGGGAAATATATATAAATCCCAAAACACGTGAAAAAAGTATCACAATGTATAAAGCAAAAATTAAAATAAGACAATGATATATAAAATCACAAAAAGGAACAGACTCACAGTTTGTAATTTGGTGTACCAGATCACGTTAGGCTCACCAATGAAGATGCCACAGGTATTCGGAGTTTGACAACGCTTTAACCAGTAACACCTTCTAATATGAAGCGTACCCACCAAGTGGAGTCAAAAGAAAGAAGAGTGGAGGTTCGAAGATATATTTGACAGGCTATCAATACATCGAGGATCGTCTGATCTAATCTGGCCAGCGATTGCAGTAGATGTTGAGCACGGCATTCCCACACGTGATCTGGTGGGGATGCATGACCGAGCGCCGTCAGCATCCAATGTCGAAAACTTGCAGAGCTATTTATTTTGGGGATTTATTTACCGCTACAGATCACTCCCCCCTAGTAGGGTGGTGATGACCCTAAGACGTAGCCAGCCAGAAGTATAAACCCAACGAGATTTTCGTTGGTAAACATTCTTCTGATAGCTTGCTAGGTTTAGCAGCGTCTGGTCATCTTTCCTTACTATAATGGACCATGAAGTTACTTACTTACTTACTTACTTACTTACTTACTTACTTACTTACTTACGACTGTTACTCCCAATGGAGCATAGGCCACCGACCAGCATTCTCCAACCCACTCTGTCCTCCGCCTTCTTTTCAAGTTCCATCCAATTCTTGTTCATTATTCTCATATCTATCTCCATTTCTCGGCGTAATGTACTCTTTGGTCTTCCTCTCCTCCTTCGGCCTTCAAGATTCCATTTGAGGGCTTGTCTTGTGACGCAGTTCGGTGCTTTCCTCAATGTGTGTCCTATCCACTCCAGCGCTTCTTCCTGATTTCTTCCTCCACTGGGATCTGATTTGTTCTCTCCCACAGTAGGTTGTTGCTAATAGTGTCCGGCCAACGGATCTGAAGTATTTTGCGTAGACAACTGTTAATAAACACCTGTATCTTCTGGATGATGGATTTCGTAGTTTTCCAGGTTTCGAAAACTTGCAGAGCTATTTATTTTGGGGATTTATTTACCGTTACAATCGCAAACTCCATTATTGCATACGATCGGCCGTGATGATATCTCGTTTGAGAAAATTCAGATAGTCCTGACCTAGTTCGTCACCGAAACCACGAAGTCCATTTCTTTGGTCATTAAAAAGGTTTAGAGGTAACTTGAACATGCTTTACGTAGGTTAATAACAATTTTTCACCCTATTTGACTTTATTTTTCTCGTTCTCTTGATTGAGAGATGTACAGTTTCTTGACAGATAACTACCAACTTTCCCATAAAACGTTATTCAATAGGAACTTTAATTTCATTGCAGTTTTATGCAGTGAAATTTTCCATAGATAATTGTCAAAATAAACCAACTCCAATAGTCGCCAGTCGTTCCGAAACTGGTAATGAAGCCCCAAAGAATGGTTTTGGCAACTTTTTGTTTCAAAATTACATCTTACATAATCCCTTCATCGAAAAATAAATCAAAACACAGAACTTTCTCGCTTTATCACGAATGTTTACAATGTTGGACATTGTCACACCCTCAAATGATATAAAAATTTCAACATTCTATTTGCATGCATTAAAGCACGTGGACGTTTTGAATATTGTGTATTTGTTTTCGTGTTGCCTCAGAGTATGGGGAAATCCAAGAAAGAAAACAAAGATAGTAACGCTACTGAGTCAGTTACACTGAAGAAGGAGGTTTCAGTGTTACAGGGTGTGAGTATTGTCGTCGGAGTCATCATTGGTTCTGGTATATTTGTTTCACCTGTTGGAGTTTTGAAACATACTAAATCTGTCGGATTGTCATTTATTATGTGGACCATCACTGGACTATTCAGTACATTAGGTAAATCATCATGCTTATTGATCTTATGAAGACGAAGGCGCCATCGTGTACGCTGAACTAGGTGTTACTATTCCTCGATCTGGTGGAGAATATGTTTACATACTCCAGACGTTCGGACCTTTACTTGCCTTCCTAGCTTTTTGGATTACATTCGTCGTAATTGGATCTGCAAGTTGTGCGGCAAATGCACTTATTTTCGCTCAATATATCCTTCGACCTGTTTATACGGACTGTGTTACTCCTCCTATCGCGATACGCACCGTTGCAGTGCTAGGACTGCGTAAGTGTTACATAAGTTTATTTGCGAATCAAGTTCTTCTTTGCTTTGTGCACTGTTTTAGTGTTAAACTGGCAACGAAAGTCGCTGTTGTCTTCACTGCTTGTAAGGTTATAGCCTTACTTATCATAATTGGTTTCGGCCTCTACTATCTGGGAATAGGTAAGTTAAACTTCCATATATAACTTATATATAAGTCTTTACTTCGTTTCCTGACTACCCCTTATTATTTTGAATAGGTAATGTTGAGAGTTTCAGGAATCCTTTTGAAGATAGCGAAAGATCGCCCGGTGAACTTGCATTGGGGTTTTACCAAGGGTTTTGGGCTTTTTCTGGTTGGTAAGTTGTCTGAATATCCCGATTTATTTATTAGCAATGTGTGATCATGTAAAACCCTCGTTAATATGAATTGTAGAATGGCAATAGTTTTGACATTACCAAACTTTTGTCTTAGTAAATTGTGAAGTACATCATGTTTTTTCTATAATTCAGAAAAGTACTTCGTGTATCAGAAGTAATTTTCTGAATTAATTCCGTCATACAATTTACTATATTTCGATATAATTATATGCTAACTCTATTTGTGAGGCTCCAGACTTAAATCTACAATATATTGGTCCCCTGACTACTATTGTTCTACTTGGAGAATGTCTTGGATGTGTGGTTATTTTGTTCCCATTATATCTCTCAATTAAATTAGTAATGTCGGTTCATTAATAGCTAGGTGATGATAAACTGTTTCCGTTTGTTAGCTTACTGTTCTACATAAATTTGTGCACAAACTGTCTTAAGCAGACATAAATTCATCACTTTAGGCAATAAAGATACGTGGTTTTCGACCCACTTATGTTGTGTCATCAGAAAGTAAAGTCGGACAACTTGAAATTCCCATTTGCCTTTCGTGAATTCACGCGTACTGTAGACATCAATGTAAATAGGTGTTACGGGATTTTCTGGCTTTGATATCGCACTAAGCACTAGAGCTGAAGTATTACCGGTCAATTGAGTCTCCATTAATAGTCGATCACGTGCTGTTAAATTAGAAAGTCCGACCAAAGTGCGAGGAAATCAGTGTGAGAAACGATGTCTTTTCGTCATCGCTTACGCTCCGACAGAATGCAGCCCGGATAGGTATGCTAAGGTCAGGCGTTTAGGCAAAGAAGAGTCGGTTAGGTGGCTGATGGGGACTTGTTGGTCGCAGGCCAGATAATGGTGACTATCTACTGCAACTTTGCGTAGACTACAACCGGTTTCTGGCTACCACTAACTATCAGAACAGCCGACGCTGATGTACCACCCAGCTTCCTCTGTACCTCAAGCCAGGACTCAGATTGATCACATTGCAATCAGGTTTGACTTGCGTGAGTATATACAAAACTTCCGCTCTTTTTGGAGTACCTATTGACTCGCGAGGAGTTGCCTGATTTTCGCGGTGGTCGAGGATGTATTGATCATATTTTCAACCTGTGGGGTCCTAGAGATGGTACAATATAATAACTAGAGACGTTATCAGACATGAGGCATGATAGAAGCCAGTTGCGATCCTGTTGTAATTTTACATTCCCTATCTCTTGAAAACCACATTGCTATTAAGTGGCGCATGTATTTGACGCTCCCTTGTACCAATGTTTATGTGTTCAAATAAATAAATTAAGTCTCATATTTGTTCTGAATATCACCCAAGTAAGTTGGAAAAGTAATGGCTTTTCAAGTCCATAATAAGTCCACATAATTTTTGAGTTACTGTTAAAGTATGTTCATACGAGTTTCCCAAAAAACAGATATTTGAGGAGTATTTAGGTTAAATATTTCAATTTATTTTGCACTTTATGTCTTGTTGAACATGACTACAAAATGAGGTTGTTTGGTCCTTTTGGATTGTATGCTTATTTGTTTTGTAGGAATTATCTCAACTTTTTGACTGGAGAGGTAAAAAATCCAGGAAGGTACGTAATGATATTTTCTTTATCCTTATTCATCTGACCATATGTATAAATATCAATCTAAATAAAACAAAAGGGGGGGTTTGAAAATAATAAAAATGGTTTGACAGTAAACACTGAAATACCTCAGTTATTCATAAATTAGTAAATCTATAAATGCTTCATATTTCCTATACGAGTTGAATTTTTTATATTTTCGTTTCTATCTACATACTGTGCTATGTTGCAAAGTTGAAACTCTAGCCAGGTGTTCAAAACACCATACCCCCGACATGTAAACGATGTTCAAACCTATTACATACTTTTATCTAAATTTGCGAGTAGTACCTGTTTCCATAATATTAGTTGTACATAGACTACTATGTAAACCTGTGTTAAAATGTGTGGATCGTCTTATTAAGCAACAGTAAACTTAGAACGGTAGTTCATTAACCATTCTAGATGAAGTGACTTACAAAGGTAAACAGAAGATAAATGAAGTCGAAGACGTTATGTATACTGAGAAAGTTGAGTGTGAAAAGTTCTGTGTTATTTTTTACTGGTAAAATAGATTGTTTTCTGACCAAAACTGCTGCAAATTACAACTGTATAAAACAGCTCGCAACATTTATATTAAATATTTGAATGATGTCAAGCATTATGGTACCCAGATTACTTCAGTAACATAAGTGAAGTCAAATTAGTTACCGTAAAGGTACTTGAGATCTACATTCTAAGTTATTAGCATCATATAGCGAAGATATTTGTAATAAATACTAAGCCTTCGCTAGTTATAAAACTACCTACTTAAACAAGTTAATTTGACTTTTTATACACAGGACACTACCGATCGTAATTATACTTTCACTCACAACAGTAACGCTCATCTACATTTTGACCAACGTGGCCTATCTTGCAGTCTTATCACCATTAGAAGTTCTTGCTTCAGAAGGTTCTACTGCAATAGCTGTGGTGAGTATTTTCTCAATATTTCACGAGTGTATTATAAATGTTCAGAAGCTAGCTACTAGTGTCCTTATTCTTACAACGTTTTGGTTACAAACATTTGACACTGTTCGCTCATATTACATAACTTAACAAGATCTTAATTAGTGTTGTGGCATATAAAAATAATACTAAATAATCATCACGTTTTACAATGAGTTAAATACTACACCGATTTATGTTCTTTAATATTTCATGGAAAAGTAAACTTTTGAAGGGCTTCACTAGTATTCGATCGTTCGAATAGAAACAGGTAGTTATTTCTAGAATTTTAAAATCCCATCCACAAAATTCCAAAGCAATACTGAGATTCGTATTCATATTGTACCAAGTATTAAGTGGTATTATATGTGTTTTTTATTTAGTCCCTAAGTATACATTTGACATTGATCCTAAATCAGGATTTCGTAGTGTCTAAAGTAAAACTGCCACAACGTACATCGTAGGTCTGAAGTAAATACCAACGTTACAAAAATAAAGTGATCAGGTGTTCCTCGGTAAAGGACATGATTAGGTCGCTATATGACAGTTATTTGAGTGACAGGTTAATGTTCTTAGTAACTCGTGGCATAGAACGAATATTATCAAAATGATTGGATCATTTGTCTCAACAGGATTGTAGAGTAAAGTGCGACCTAAGCCCTTGACAACCATTTATATTGTACCAATTCTTCATCTTTGTTGTTACCTGGCATATATCCAACTTGCCAGGCTGTGTGCCTGAAGATAAGCACCCTAAACTTGAAACACAATTAATTATTGATAATAAATACCCTATCTTCAATTTATTTGAAACTATCAAGTGAAAAACTCAGGCTGTAGCCGTCCCAGAGTTCTGCTGTTCACAAACCTGGGTAAAAGAGAAGGGATCAATAAAAGAAGGATGGAATTACAATGGATGTTATTCAATGTTATACACCCATCAGTGATAGCAATGATGACGATAAAGATCAGTTCTACGAGAGGCTGCAATCAGTCGTAGCGAAGTGCCCAAGAAAGGACCTGACCATCCTGATGGGAGACCTGAACGTCGAAGTCGGAATGGGCAACGCCAGATGTGACGATATCATGAGACGACATGGACTGATTGGGAGAAAGTAAAAATGTGGGGAGAGATTCGCAAACCTATGTGCACTTAATAAATTGGTTATAGGCAGCACAATATTCCTACACAAAGCTTCATGTGTCTCACTGGATCACACGATGGTGAACCAGATAGATCATATTTGTATCACTAAAAAATTCAGAAGGTTAATAGAGGATGTGAGAACCAGGAGAGGAGCTGATATAGCTTCAGATTACCACCAACTGGTGGTTGCCAAGATGGAACTGTAGCTAAAGAAGCATTGGAAATCTGGGGAAACAGCATTACATAGGTTCAACACGAACTTCCTTCGATATACTGACAAACTCGACCAATTCAAGATAAATCTCAACATCAGGTTTCAAGCCTTACAGGGTGTGCTGGAAGAATAAGAAACTGTGATGAAGGACAACTGGAAAGGGATCAAAGAAGTACTAACGTCAACGTGTCAGGAGGGTCTGGGTAGCAAGGATCATTATTATAAGGTATGAATCTCTATCGATACCCTGGACAAGATTCAAGAAAGGAAGAAGAAAAAGACAGCAATAACCAACAGCCGAACAAGAACAGTGAAATTTAAGACACAAGCCAAATATACTGAAGCAAACAAGCAAGTGAAGAAGAGCATTAGAGCGGACAAGCAGAAATATGTGGAAGGGCTGGCAATAACAGTGGAAAAAAGTTGCAAGAGAAGGAGATATGAGGCAGCTATGTGAGACGACGAACTCCGCCTGGAGCCCTTCTGGGGCTGCTGCCAATCCCAAGCTCGGATAAAGGAGGAGGGTTGGGCATGGAGTTAGCGACCCCATTTTTTTTAGCATGCGTGATTTATTTTGTTTTCACACTAATCCTTTTACTTTCCTCTGAACATAAAAAACGTGAATTTTTTGTAGATACACTTACACACTAGTTTATACAACTCAAAAAATTTCATATATCCTCGTATATCTTCTAAACTTTATATAGAGCTTTGCATCAAGAACTATGGGGGTTGTGGGTTTGGTAATGCCAGCTCTTGTGGGTGCTTCAGTCTTTGGCAGCATAAATGGTGAGGTATTCTCTATTTCCCGGTAAGCGTTCTACCACGTGTTCTCGTTTTTGTTAAATTTACTGTAAGCTATTTATAAACATTCCACAGTTTATTGAAACACTTGCTTCATTATCAATAGTCTCCACTTGTCACTGTCTCTTTGCATTATAACATACCCTAGTAAGCAAAGTTCCTTACGAAACTAATTTGGCGTTTGCGCTGTAAATACCGAATGTTTTAGGGACTCTTGGTAATTTGAAGAGATCTTGGTCAGATTGAACGTAACTGGAATCAGAACGCTAGTAAGGAACAATGTTTTTCCGACTAGAACTGGTTGGGGTCAACGACAATACAGGAATTTAGTGAACTTTACATCAAGTAGTGGGAAACATTACTTTTAATAACCAAGTTTTCCTTTTTCTTCACATTTTACTTGGCTTCAAAAGTTTAATTAAATATCACTAATAATAAAACTATCAAGAACGAATATAGATGTTTTGGGGGAATTTATTTAGCCATTTATTGTTATTTTCAGCTGAAGACAGTGAGAGTTATTTGAAAGTGTCCCATATACCCCTCGAACCTATTTTAGCAATAGAAAAGAATTTGGTTGAAAGCAACAAACTCTGAGATTAATAAGTTGCGTCAGCTTTCCGGTTAACTCCTATATGAATACCGAAACCCCAGATGTCATTTGGTCAACTAACCTAACTATCACCTCAGAGGTGACTGCGAAATGACAAACATTTTATGTATTTGTAAATTACTGAGACGGTTTTTATGGCATTAATTATAGTAATAACAATCTCCCTCTTGAGCATATCTTGAGGATAATAAACACGACAAACTGAAACAGATGGTGGGCCTGGCACCAAGGACTCGTGTAAGAGATTGTAATTATATATCATCTGAGGTAAATTTGCCAAGGTATATCTACTCTTTATCTTTTCGACCTTGTCGACGACTTCTGCATGTAAGTACGTTAGGTATCTGTGACTGACTTCCTACTTGGATATATTCTAATGAATATACTGTGCACAATCCATTCCACATCTCAAATACAGTGTTGCTTACTAGCTAACCTTCACTTACGCTTAAGTCCAATCACAGATAATAACAGTTAATGGCACCTTTCACTTCACTTGGTAGCTCCGTCAGTTCTAGTGACTGCTGAAATACTGGTATATATGTGAAAGGCGTTATTACATCTACCAAATATGTGTATGCAAAAGATATGGGTATTGAATTAAAAAGGAAGATAAAGCTGATTTGTGTAATGTTTAACGGTAAATCTCTCATTATATGACAATGATAAGTGACCATTCATATAGTATAATTTATTGTGGTTCAAGATGTTTAATCACTTATTTCTTTGACACATTTGTCGCTTCTGAATTCCTAATTAGTTGAGGTTATTAATATTACGAGTAGGTTATTGTGTCCTCAAGGTTTGTTCCAATATTCCTGACGTTTTTATTATCTATCTTCCTCGAAATTTTAAATATTTAATCACTCTCATTTATGGAAACTTTCTGATATCTTGTTTATCTCACTTTACTTTTTTCCCATTTAATTAACTTAACCTTTATCACAATGTTGCAATAGATACTAATTAAAATCTTTGATGTTATTAATAATCACACAAAAACTTATCAAGTTTATTTAATATTTATCGGGGAATTTTTAACTTTTGATTGAAAAACTTCACTGTCAAATAGTGATATTTTTATCTTGTTCAAACTTCTTGTTTTTAAGTTTAGAATAAACTTTCAATTATCCAATTTGAACTAAACAAGTGTATGTAATACATACAAATTAATCGTTCTTGTTATACTTTAAAACATTTAGTTTAACTTTTGTTAAAAACTTGAAACATCTATGTTTATTCAACTTCATAAATACTTTGGTTTTAATTTTAGACTAGCATTTACTGCTGGTGAAGAAGGGCATATGCCTGCGCTTCTTTCAATGGTTAATATTGACCGTTTAACTCCAATTCCATCTATATTAATTGTAGTAAGTTAGTTTTTGAAATTATCACTTTGTCTATAACACCAATATTCCATACTGTTGTGATAATAGATTTCAAGAATTTTTCCACAATTATTTCCGTAGGTCAATAAGATTTCTATCCTTTGTAAGATAGCCTTTAATAGTATTCATTTAAGCATTTTTCTTATGATAAAGCTTAAATTTATATTTTCCTATACCCTAATACTATGTTTTCACATTCTATTTGCTACGTATAGTTGTGAACGTAAAATGTCATCCGACCGTATTATTTAATGCTTCAGAAAATTATATATATATATATATATATATATATATATATATATATATATATATATATATATATATATATATATATATATATATATAAACGTATTTGAAACGGCCTAAAATCAGTTATATTCATTGATCTTTTACTTTTCCAAGAGTCTCTAATATAATATTATTCTATACGTGTTATCTCCTGATTTCTTTATTTTTGGATTTTTTTTCCTAACGTTTCATTAATGCGTTAATATTATTTTTTAACACTGTTTTACGTAATCTTTATTTCTTTCTATACTGACACAAAACTAGAGAATTTTAACTGACACATATTTGTGCAAAGTGTTAAGTAATTTACGTTGAATATCCATGTATCTACTTTTGGGGTACTAGTATGGCTGTACTATAAGTAAATGGTTCGATGTCCGTGTTAGTTAAGATTTGATATCAAGTATGCTAATCAGTATTTTTTTTATTGTTCTCTGTACACTGCATGTAAGATTTTTCGTCAGTTGAATATTCAGCCGAAAACCAAGTACTTATATTTTCGTTTGTTTCCATAGGTAACTCTATCTGTAATTTTTCAACTGTTCGATGACATACTTTATTTGATCGAGTTAACGGGTTTTGCTTTCTCTGTAATGTCTGCGATGGCTGTTTGCAGCTTACTCTACATTCGTCGTACAAATCCTCAAATGAATACATCGGGATTTAAAGTAATTTATTTCTTTGTTTGTAAATTTAGCTCAGCAATTATTCAATTGCTCAACAACTTATTACTCTTAAATGCTGAACTGCCTTTTAATCACTGCATTTTCTAGGTTTTATATTATTTATTATCTTACCATAGCACTGAAATATCTCCAACTACATTATATAATAGTTATCCTGTACAAATTAACATTTAAAGGATAATTTTTATAGAATGCTACAATAATGGCTATCAACTAAGGTGAGATGAACTAAGAGAATGGAAGGAGTGCATAATTAAAGCAAAGAAATGTGAAGTAAACTTTTATGAGACGCCTTTCAGCAACTACCTATAAGATATGCGGAATGTTGATCATGGTTTTATTATTTCTTGTAAATAAAGTCAATGTGTACGTAAACATAAAACCATAGTTCTTCATCATATGTCCACAATGAATTGATTATTTAAAAGTACTATCTGAAATAAAATCTAATTATGTGTTTAAATGTTTTATGTATCGCTTATTATCATTGTTTATTAACATTGATTAAGCCGTATTATAAAGGCTAGTAAGGGAACAAGAGATTTTGCAAAACTACTAGGACGATTTAAATAATCGAGCTCATTATGAGCTCACTGAACCAAATCCTAAAATTTGAGGCAAACTAATTAAGAAAATTAGAATTACTGTGCAAGTGATTAAATAAAACTCGTCTGTATGCAAACTACTCAATCAAAGTAATATGAATTATTAGAAGGAAAATAATGAATTTAGGATGGAACTAATCATCTCAAAATAACCAAATACATCTTTACTTCGGCTTAAATCATAATGATCATGCATCATTTTAAAAGGCCTTACCCGGTATTTTATACTCCAAAATCTAAAGATTACTATTTATATACTAGTTTACGTTATATTTCTAAAATGTATTTTGGATTATTCAAACATTTAACCAATTATTCTCGATTATCTATCTTTTAAATTTTTTTCAGTTACCTATTTTTATTCCTGTGTTGTACTTAATTGTGGACATTGCTATTGGAATTCTTGCAATCTATCAAAAGCCTACAGATTGTGCAATTAGTCTTGGAGTAATGTTGCTAGGTGTTCCAGTTTACATTTTTGGGGTGGTATGGAAGAACAAACCAAGATCAATAAGATCTTTAATATGTATGTTACTTTCTTTGACTTTATAATAACTTAGTATTTACTAGGTATGCTTTACATTGTAAAGTTTTTAAAAAAAATGAATTTAAACCCACTGTTTTTGTATAATTTTTATCACGAAACTAATATTTCTCCAGTAGTGCAAATTAATAAAAGTATTCATATATGTTTCAGAGAGCTGAATTTTTCAACTTAATTTTTGTTGTTTGGTTATATGAATAACTAACCTGAGTCTCAGTATAAATCTAAATTCTTTTACTATCAAATAATTACCCTGATGTTAGGAAAAAAGTGTTCACGGCGTTTCTGTAACAACTATCGGGGGATAAGTCTACATCCGATTGCATCCAAACTGTTAGCTTCCGTCATACTTCGTAGATTTTTCAAAACCTGAGAAAGATTGACTCGCTAGGAGCAGTCTGTTTTTCGTCTTGGTAGATGACGTATTGATCGTATGTTCACCCTTTGCTAAATGCTAGAACACCGTCGTACTTGTCACAGGCCAACAATAATAGCGTTTCTTGAGATTGGGGCCGCCTTTGATTTGTTGGACAGGATTGTTTTCTGGGGTTGTCTAATAAGAGGACATAAAGCGAATGTTCGGCGCTTTAACAGGGTTGGTGTACACGGAAAGTCCAACTAGGGGAGTTGGAAAACTCTGATTCTAAATCAATGGTGCATATGCACTCCAAGATCCTGAAGGAACAAATGGCATATGAATCAACCGTTAGTCATCGGCTATCATGGGATTGTATCTCCTGATGTTGCTCCATTGCCTTGTGGATCACACCTTTAAGTCGAAGGCTCCATACATGGCCCTCACAGAAACTCATCCGCTTCGAGTTGGGCACCCGAGCAGTATCCCAGCCCTCACACAAATCTAATGATTTATGTGATGCATATCTATTTGGTGCTTCATTGTACCAATGTTTATGTGTTTAAATAAATAAGTAAATAAAATGAAATAAAATTTGAATTATAAGTTTCCTAATTTAATACAATTCATTTTATTCTCCATTATGTTGTAGATGGTGTGACAATCACTTTACAAAAAGTATTAAAAGTTGTTGAACAAGAAAAAGTCTCTGATATATTAGAATTAGATGGTCATTTAAAATCTGTTGATAATCAACTGGAAATATCACAATAATATAATGATGATAATAATAAACAATAAAAAAAGCTCCGCTTTATTCTTATTCCCATTCAAAAGAAAACAAAGTACATTTTTATTATGATTCTATCATGAACATTTTTAAAAAAAAAATATTAAAATCTATTCAATGAAATTTTATTTATTCAATTATTCTCGTTTCTTTTTTTTTTAAAAAAAAAACAATATTGCGCCTAAAATTACACTTGAATGAATTCAATCCAAATAATGTTTCTATCATTTGTAAGTTTAATTCAACATTTTGCTTATTCTATTTTTTTTTATGCCTTAGTTGTTTGTTTGTTTGTTTGTTTTAATTTTTCATAGGATTCAGTATAAAAATTGTGCTTATTCATTTCATGTTGTATTGTGAAGAAATTTCTTTGTTTATTGTTTTTTTTTGTAGAGACATATATATATATTCGCTTATATTCAATTAGCTAACATATTCTTTGCCAAATTTTTCTTTCATTATTTTATCCTTATGACTTCTTATTTTTTATTCCTAGATGCGTTCGTTTTTCTTATTCTTTAAGTGATTCTCCTTACATAATCAGTAGAATAATCATCTTTTTATTAAAGAAAAACATTTTGTATAGCTTGAATAGCTTTGATATAGATCCTTTTTAATTGATTGTAAATTCGTGTATATATACATAGTACACAAAATTCTTGATAATGTTGAATTAATAAAAATATATATTTGGCTGTTTGTAAAGATTGATTCAAGTTTATAATTAACTGATCATGGATAAGTAAATAATGTCTTGTTTGTCTGCCCCCCGAATGCTCTGGTATGGATGAGGGTGGGGAGAGTTATCTCACACTCTCGAAATGCTCTAACATAGCCAAGCGTATACAACCACTGCTAGAGACGTCTTACTCACTGCCTTCTCGCGACGGGGGTGTTTACGAAATTGAGAGGATACAGAGCGAATGTCTGACGCTTTAACAGGGTTGGTGGACACAGAGGAACCACCTAGCGGAGTTGGAAAACCATGATTCTAAACCAATGTTTCACATGGACTCCAATATCCTGAGGGAGAAAATGGCGTATAAACCCATCGTTGGTCACCGACTACCATAAGACTAGCTACCATCCGATCGCATCTCTTGACGTTGCTCTACTGCCTTGTGGATCAGACGTTTAAGTTGAAGGCTCCGGATGTGGCCCCTCAAAGAAACCACCTTTTTCGGTCTGAGCTCTCGGGTAGTATCACAGCCCACACACAAACTAAGGAACTTGTGTGGCGCATATAGCTTCTGTGCCCTTGGTACTAATATTTGCGTCCAAACAAATAAATTTGTGTTCTCTACTTACTCAATACTGCCTGTTACCCCTCATGATGGATTATAGGTCGAACATCAGAATTTTCCATCCAACTCTGTCCTGGGCAAGCCTTTCCAGTTTTTCTCAGTTGCTATTCATCCTTCTGATGTCTGCTTCTAATTCCCGACACAGTGTGTTCTTTGGTCTTTCTCTTTTCTGTTTCCCTTCAAGATTACAAGTTCGCACATGCTTCATGATGCAGTTTAATGATTTCCACAATGTATGTCCTATCCACTCCCGAAGTCTTTTCCTAGTTTCCTCTTAAAACAGGGGCTGATTTGTTCTCTCCCAAAGTAGGCCGTTGCTGATGGTGCCTGGACAACGGGCATTGAGTATCTTGAGAATACAATTGTTTATAAATACCTGTGCTCTTTTGATGATGGTTGTGGTTGTTTCGCCATCAAGAGTGATTGGATTGTTGTGTATTGTGTTGTATCGGACAATCTTGTTTTTCCCTTTACGTATGTTGAGACCTACTACTGCTGATGCTGCTGCTACACTAGGTGTCTTTATCTACATTTGTTCGTATGTATTGGATTGGAGGCTTGGTCATCTGAGAAGTCCAAATCGTCTAATTGGTTCTAAGCTGTCTATTGTATTCCGTGTTTTCCCTCAGATTTCGAGGTATTCATAATCAAGTCTACCACCAGAAGAAAGAGGAAGGGAGAGAGTAGACAGTCTTGTCTGACTCCGGTCTTTACTTGGAATTCATCTGTCAGCTGTCTTCCATGCACTACTTCGCACTGTAGTCCGTCGTATAAGTTCCAGATAATATTGACAATCTTCTCAGGAACTCCGTAGTGTCGAAGAAGTTTCCATAACGTTCTCCTATCTACACTGTCAAATACCTTCTCATAATCAATGAAGTTGATGTACAGTGACGAGTTCCACTCAATTGATTGTTCGACGATGATCCATAGTGTCGCAATTCGGTCTGTGCACGACCGATCCTTACGGAATCCAGCTTGTTGATCTCGAAGTTGAGCGTCTACTGCGTCTTTCATCTGGTTCAGCAACACTCCGTTAAAGACTTGTCGTGGTACCGACAGTAGTGTAATGCCTCTGTAGTTTTCACACTTGCTCAGATCTCCTTTCTTTGGAATCTTGATGAGGTTTCCTTCCTTCCAGTCCATCGGCACTTGTTTCTCCTCCCAAATCTTCTTGAATAGAAGATGAAGCATGCTTGTCGTTACTTCGATGTCTGACTTCAGTGCTTCAGCTGGTATATTGTCGGGTCCTCCTGTTTTCCCAATCTTGATTTGTTTGATGGCCATTTTTATTTCTTCCGTCGTTGGTGGAATGACATCTATATGAAGATCTGTGTGTGCTGCTTCGATGTCCGGTGGATTCCATTGGAGCCGGCCTATTCAGGAGTTCCTCGAAGTACTCTGCCCATCTGTTCAGCTGTCGTTGAATTTTAGTGATTGGCATGCCTTCTTTGTCTTTGACTGATCTCTCTGCTTTACTGTATTTCCCTGCTAGTTTCTTCGTTGTATCGTAAAGCTGTTTCATATTTCCTTCTCTTGCAGCTTTTTCCGCCGTCGTTGCTGGTTCTTCCACGTATTTTTGATTGTCAGATCTAATGCTCTTCTTAACTTGCTTGCTTGATTCTATGTACTCAGCTTGTGCTTGGACTTTCTCTGCTCGTGTTCGACTGTTGTTAATTGCTGTCTACTTGTTCTTTCTTTCTTTGATCCTGTCCAGTGTATCTATAGAGATCCATTCCTTGTGATGATGTTTCTCGGGGCCCAGAACCTCTTGACACGTTGAAGTTAATGCTTCTTTGATACCTTTCCAGTTATACTCCATAGTAGTTTCTTTTTCCTTCAGTAGGTCCTGTAGGGCTTGGAACCTGTTGTTGAGAGTTATTTTGAATTCACTGAATTTGTCAGTATCTCGAAGGAAGGCTGTATTGAACCTTTGTGGTGCTGTTTGTCCAGTTTTGCAGTTCTTCTTTAGCTTCAGTTTCAATTTTGCCACAACCAGGTGATGATCTGAAGCTATGTCCGCTGCTCTCCTGGTTTTCACATCTTCCATTGTCCTTCGGAACTTTTATTGATGCAAATATGATCTATCTGATTCTCTGTGGTGTGGTCCGGTGAGATCCATGTAGCTTTGTGTATACATTTGTGTAGAAATATTGTGCCGTCTATGACCAATTTGTTGAATGCACACAGATTTACAAATCTTTCTCTGTTTTCGTTTCTCTCTCCCAGTCCATGCAGTCCCATGATGCCTTCATATCCGGTGTTGTCTATTCCGACTTTGGCGTTTAGATCTCCCATCAGAATGATGAGGTCCTTTCTTGGGCACTTCTCTATGATTGATTGCAGCCTCTCACAGAATTTATCTTTAATGTCGTCGTTGCTATCATTGGTGGGTGCGTAACATTGGATAATGTTCATTGTGATACCCTCCTTCTTTGTTTTGAATGATGCTTTGATGATTCTGGATCTGTGAGATTCCCATCCTACAAGTGCATTTCGTGCTACTTTGGATAGCATTAGAGAAACTCCCTGAGTGTGTGGGACATTTTCCTCTTCGTGACCGGAGTATAGCAGCATCTCTCCCGTATTTAGCCTTTGTTGTCCAGCTTGGGTCCAATGGGTTTCACTGATTCCCAGTACTGCCAAGTTGTATCTCCTCATTTCCGTTGCTATTTGACTGGTCTTCCCGATCTCCCACATTGTCCGGATGTTCCATGTACCTATAAAAATTGTTGCTCTGGTTGTTAGAAGGGGCATCGGCCTCGTGGCTTCCGAAGGAACTCAGCTTTCACCATGAAGCGTCATATTACCTCTATCTCCCAGGGTAGAGTTTAAATGGTTTGAATTATTTTTTCTGGTTAGCGTTTTTTTAGCGAGTTAGTTTTCTACGGAATGGGATCGTTAAACCCGGGCTTGGAACCGGCAGTAACTCTAGAAGAGCTACAGGCGGAGTTATTTCAAAGGCGAATAGCATACCCTAAGAAAAATATTTTCTTGGTCATATACATATTTTAAGCTTCACCCAATCCATTAAATAATCATCTAATCACAATAAAAAAAATTAACTTACACTTTTAACTTCGTCCTAGCAATAACTCCTGTTAAAATATTCACTAAATATCAAGAGTAATCTAACAGTAAATGTTTGTTTTAAGATGTTTCTTCGTTCTCCGTATGTTACCCTCTAGTAGCTACAAAAGAATTGTTACGCTTCATAAAATTGAACTGTGTTATAATAATGTTTAACAAGGTGTTAATTTCAAAGGAAAATCAAGGTTTGTATTGATTTTATTGCATAAATGTATAGAGGACGATTGAAATGTTATTGTCTGTATTTACTCAGTTCATATTTGATTCATATAAATCGTGTAGTTAAAATTCAATCTCTACTGAATCATTACGTTACTCATCTTTAACTGGTTATAATTATAAATTGATCATAGTCATTATTAACTTCAATTATTTTAATCTCATAAAATATTTTGCTTCACCGTCATGACCTTCGACACAAAAATACTAGTAATCGAACACAGATCAAATAGAGTACGTGTTTAGAAAAAAAATGAAATAATCAAATACAGTATAAAAAAAAGCGTCTTAACGACAAATAGTGAATTCCATAATTATGAGTTAACTGGACAGTTTTTGTAAAATGTAATAATTGACCATCAGTTTCAAGAAAAGTTAATAAATAATACAAAATTTCGAATTATGGCTAGTATTGAAATTGTAGACATGAGTTTCACCTTATGTAGGACTTGTAAGCTAAATATATCTGACTTGCAGAATATACATATTAAATATGTTATCAGATTGATTTAATTATTCAAACTATTTTGAATATTTTTCGTTTGAGATCATGAAACGATTGATGTTAGACCACCGTTGGAAGCCGTGACCAGTGGGGCTAATCCATGTCGGCCAGAGAAAGGTATCTACCTCGGTACACTGGAAGATGGTCACTCAATTTCGTGGATTGGTTGATGTTAGAAACTAACACCATTGGATAACAGCCAGATCACTGGTCCAGTAGGTTTGGCGTTCGCGCGCAAAAGTGAAGGCCCTGGGTTAGAATCCCGCGAGCGGGATTGTGGATGCGCACTGCTGAGGAGTCCCACAATAGGACGAAACGGCCGTCCAGTGCTTCCAGGTTTCCAACGGTGGTCAAACATCAATCGTTTCATGATCTCAATCAAAAACTTAACAATCTCCACAACCCCTATGCTGATATTTTGAATATGACAGATTCTTGACTAAAATAACATCTATTGGCAAAGATTAACTGCATATTTATCTCAAATTGTTCTTGAACTAAACTGAATTATTTAAAAACCGATAATCAATTAGATTTCGTACAAAAAAATGTCAGTACAATCTAATGAGGTTCGACATAAAATTACTAATAATCGACTATCGACATCATAATGAACATAGTTTTTAAAAAAATAACTTAACAATCATACAGCATAAATTAGATTACATATAAGATTGATGCTTAGAATAATCAGTTATTTCATTGAAGAAGCTTGAATCAGATTTTATTTATTTGAAAACTTTCATTTGAACACATAAATACTGGTACAGGGAGGCACCAAATAGATATGCACCACATAAATCATTAGATTTGTGTGAGGGCTGGGATACTGCTCGGGTGCTGGAGGTCACGTATGGAGCCTCTAACCTAAATTTCTGATCCATAAGGCAGTGAAGTAACATCAGGAGATACAATCCCATGATAGCCGATGACCAACGATTGTTTCATACGCCATTTGTTCCTTCAGGATCTTGGAGTGCATATGCATCATTGGTTTAGAATCAGGGTTTTCCAACTCCTCTACTTGAACTTTCCGTGTCCGCCGACCCTCTTAAAGCGCTGAACACTCGCTTTATATCCTCTCTATTTTGTAAACAACACTTATACCGCAATAATACAGTAAGTGGACTTCCCTGACAGTGCTTGTATACACGTCGTCATGTTAGAGTATTTCAAGAGGGAGAGATAACTCTCTC